GCAGGAATTGATCATGGCATGGCATTAATTAGTATGACAACCTATTAGCAGCCTATATAGCTGATATAGGCACCCTTGTTCACTGGCACTGTATCCATTCACATAGTACAGACCAAATTCCCCAGAGCAACCAAACCAACAACCTCTCATGTCTGACTTGGAGTCAGAACAACTCAGCCCAATCCATGCTCCTCTGCCACGGAACCACCCCGCTGAACCCCGCCTTGAAACCCCCTCTTGAAACCCCCCCCATTGCTTAATAAACCTGAGCCACACATCACACACATTTTCACTGGATGACTTCATGTTTATCTAGGCAGAAACAAGATAACTGTGATTAAATGTTGTCTCTTGGTATTATTTTCGAGTGGATGACTAAACAGAGAAAAACAATCGATACACGGATGTTCAAGGAGCAGCATGACAGTGAAGTTAGACACGGGTACAGAAAGCTGAATAACCTGCACATAAAGCAACGAAGGAAGCAGCAGTGATTAAGAAGTTGTGACAAAGCAGAGAAGGAATTTTCCCTGAAGACCAGGAATGGGCTGAGCTGGAACCTGCCTGGCAAAGAGAGGGGCTGCAGAGGTGTCCAACAGGGTCAGAGGGGAGTTTCTGCCTTTTGCCTCATCAGGAGACAAGGGGCAGAAACTGCACAAATTCAAATTCCTGAGCCTGTGTCGGTTACATGCAGCTCTGACAGCAACCCCTAAAGTGTAAAGAAAGCCCTAAAATGTAAAGAAGGAGGATCATCACCCTGGCTGGGGTCTGACCTGAGGGTGTTAGACTAACACCATGAGCATATTTCTGTTTTAGTAAAATGTTAGCTACATGTTAAAATGAGAACAGTATGGCAGCTCAGCAAGGTGCCGGGGAGTGGCTGTTTGCGTCAGCCTACAGACACTGAGTTTCCATCCAGGATAACCCCCAGATTATTCCTGGATCATGGACATCCCCACAAGTGCTGAGCTGAGCTTGGCTGTCAGGAGGGCAGCAGCTCTCGCTGTATCTGTGTTTGCAGGGCTGCTCTCGCACCCTCGTTGCAGTAGCCATCATCTCATCGATGGCAAGGCTTGGACCTCAAATGTTACAGCTCACCTGCATCGCCTCCCGGGCTGCAGCCCCTCGGCACCACGGTGGGAAGGGGCTTGGATATCGGAAAAGGTGCGGAGGGGCCAGGACAGGTTTGCACCCGCCTGCAGTTGCTGGAAGTGAGGGAATTATTCTGGTGCAATAGGAAAGGCGTGCGCTTGGAAAGTGTCCCCGGGGGTGAGCAGTCATTAAGCTGCAGGAGAATGCTAACGTTTGGAAATTTCTGAGAAGAGAAAACCCCTTTTGCTCTCCCTTTGTAAATCCGCTTCCTCTTCTGCCTGCCTGCCGGCATCCTCTTCTCAGCTCCGCTCCTCCCGCACCACGCTGGGAGCCCCGAGAATGAGCCAAACTCCCGGGAGAGGTGCAGGGATGGAGAAACGTGGGTGGGCTGAGCATCCTGCCAGCCGGCTCTGCCTGCAGCTCCTGCTCCTTCCCACTGCTGACACTTCCATCTGGCACCTCGTTTCCAAAGGGGCCTGTCCCTGGGCTGCTGCAGTGGATGGGAAAGTGTAAACTCAGTTTGACATGAAAGCAATAAAACATGTGTAGATTGAGGCATGCAACTCTCCGCACAGGATAGAAAATCAATGCAATCTGATAAATAATAATAATTGTGACAGCGTAAGCTGAGGATGTGGAACTAAACCCACACTTTTCACTCAAGCTGTGATCCAGAGCCCACCACAATCAGTGTAAAAGCCACAGGGACCTCACCATGCAGCCCATCTCCTTCACCAGGCTGTTCGCCAAATGTGCTGCCCGACTTCCTTTGGTCAGTGATGAGCTGTGGTATCTCATCGCATCCCCACTCCATTCCTAATGGGTTGTCTTTAGCAGAAAATCATGGTCCATGCACGATACCTGTAATTCTTAAATGGTTGATTTCAAGGGAGGTGGTATTGAATGATCAGCTTTTGAGAGCACTGACAGAGCACGGAGGGATGTATTCACCTGTTCATTCCTGGAACCAGGGCAAAATGAAGGTCACACTGCAAAAACTCTTGAGAAAGCAAATTAAGAGAATCAAAACCCTGAGAAGTTTTCCTTTGGCATATGCAAATATTTGAGGGAGGATAGTGAGCATTCCAACAGATCTTTCCTTTAAAAGTGAATCACTAAATTTAGCTCATACCTATGTGCTATGGGCAAATGCTGGTGAGCTCACCCAGCCAGGTCACCTACCAGGCCTTTGGGGAAGGGACAAGAAGTCTTCCTCCTCCTCTGCAGCTTTTCATTCTGCTGGTGTGGGGTGGAAGGCACAGTGCCCACCGGGCTGACACGAGGCTGCAGTGATGCCAGCATGCTACTGGAGGTCTCCAAGTCTTCTTCAAGCTGTATGTCTAATGAATGCAGCAGGAAGACTTTATCACTTTAAATATTAGGACTAGAGTGCTACCAGGGACACGAACATCTGACAGCTCTGCTTGTGCTAAGAAGCAGCATTTACCTAGGCCCTGACCCCAGGACTGCATGACACCTCCTGACTGCATGGAGATACGAGCTAGGTGGTCTTGGTTTATTTCCTAACATATTAGGCATCTGCCATTGTCAGATACTGCAGCAATGTGTGTATTAACACCCCGTGAGAAAACACAGTGGAAAATGGATTTAGATCATGAGAAGCAGTGGGTACCAGCAACGTGTGTGCAGTCACTGGCGGCTGAAAGGGCCCAAAATGGGTGAAAACAGACCAGAGCTATACATTATGCAGCACAAACATGGTCTCGTGGACAAACTGGGGTGATGTATTATCATTCAAGCATAAACTTTGGTCTCTGGTATTTCAGGAATGATACATCACCTCTGGGATGCTACCATTAGCAGGAGGGACAGTATCTGCTATGAAAGGGCACCACAGTGAATTCAGAAAGTTTCGCCAACAAGAACCATACGACTCCTCCGAATTTTGACAGACAGACTCAGCACAGTTTCAAGTGGGGTTTATTTACAGTAATTGCAAGAGAGTTCCACAAAACTTACTACTGTCAGTAAATTGCATAATACACACAAGAACCTTTTTCTACTCAGCAACCACATCTCCTGCACTAAAAGTTTTCTGTACTGATAAGACAGAAAGTATTATCTCAAAAGAAAACACAGATTTCTAAGGCCTGACATACCTGCTAGGACCTGTTCTTGGAAGCGTTTTGCACACTGTGCAGCCCACTTCAGCCAAATCGATCAGCGGCAGCAGTCACGAAGACTGAGCCCCGATTTACGAGCACCGCTCTGCAGCATTAACTACACCAGAGTAGTTCCAGCAGGCACTCGGCACTCGTGAATACACACTCCCTCTACAGAAAATTTATAATTTAAACAGCGTTTTCATTAAATGATCACAGCTTATCTGTTAGCAAGAGAAATCCTTTTAGATTTCTCCTTGGAGAGCATCCTTTGGTAGAATTCGAACGGTGTTTGACCGAACACAGCTGCGATCAGCGAGAAGCTGCACTGATACAGCACATTATCTTCCCATTCACTGCTGGTGTGTGTGTGCAACATCCCAGCAGCTTCGTCAGCCCCGGCCGTCGGTGGGTCATTAACGCCTTCTGCGCTCTAACGAGATTTCTCCAGCCAGTCTAGCAGGATGTCCAGCTCGCCCAAAGATTTAATTGCTGCAGACGTGACATTCAGCTGGAATGATATAAAGGGAGAAGTTGTACGCACAGATAGCGAGCACAACCCAGTGTAAAGAGAATCTGAATATCTGTGTTAATTACTAGACAGTCGTCAACTTACCCCCTCATAGTTCACAAGTATTTGCTTAAATTTCTCAGTGGATTCCTGTCCACACATGCACTTATTTTGCTCGTGCTAGAAAAATAACATAGGATTCATTAGTTTGGGGGATTGTTTTCAAAAATAAGAGATCACATTCCAGTTATGCTGGAAATTTCTGCAGAGGCTGAGACCTTGTTAAACTGTGGAAAAGTCTGCAGGTCCTTGAAGCAGATCTCAGCTAAGAACAGAGTTTGCATCGATAGGCAGAGGGACAGGATAAATATTCTTCTTGAGAACGTGGGAGTTCAGTGGTGATTGGGCAAGTATAAACATTTCTCAGGGGACATACGCGCTCTTCACATCATACCACTTTCTGTTCTTGTTAAAACCGGTTTTATAAATATTTTGTAACTTTATGAAACACTAACCAATGAAACTAAACTGCAGCAATACTCAAGACTTACACACTGCCCAAGTTTCCTCTTCACGCTGAGGAAGGAGTTGGCTATGC